CATCAACGTGTGGCTGTGTTGCCTGCGTAGTGTGTGTGTACGCCTCTGTCGCGAGCGGAGATCACTGTAGAGTGAGCGTCGGGCTGGTGGAGTTTATTGCCGCTATGCAGCGGCACCACATTGCATGCTCTGTGGGCACTCACTCGACGAGCCCAAACGCCAAAAACGCGCACGGACGCCCCCTCTCACCCCCTCCGTCCTCACGCCGCGGCTTCGCCGTGGCGCCTCAGCAGCCACAGGCCGTCCTTCAGGTAGTGGGTGTTCTCGACGGCCACGCCCTTGTTCTCACTCCGTATCGTCTCGGTCGAGAGCGTCGTCACGCCAATCGCGAGCGCGTGCTCCTTGCCCTCGGCGTACACGGCGATGATCGACTCGGCGGGCACGTCGTCCATCCTGCCGCCGGTCGAGGTGAGGCCGGGCGACATGATGTTGGCGCCCGACAGCACGAAGCGGATCGCGCCGCGGTCCACTTGGTACTTTGGCAGAATGTCCGGGTAGCGGTGCAGCAGCCGGAGCGTCGGGATGAAGGGCCCGCTGCGGCACTGGAAGAAGATGAACTCGCCGCTCGGATCGAGGATAACCTGCCGGCTCTCGGTGCACTTGCACACGTACAGGTCCGACTTCTTCGGCAGGATGTCCTCGATGTGCTCCTCGAGCGCAGGGTACTGCTCGATGACGCGCGCGCGGATGCCGCGCTGCTCCGACGACTTGACCTTGGCGTGGCTGCGGATGTGCTCCTCCTTTGTGAACTTTCTCCACATCTCCAGCACGGCCGCCGGCGCGTGAGGACAAGCGAGGCGCGCGAAAAAGAAACTGTTTACCCGCCGCAGCGCTGTCCGGCGTCCACCCATACCGCGTTGGTGTCCAGTCCGAGCCTGGCTGTTCTTCACCTTTCTACCTACCTACCTACGAGCGGCACTTCTCCTAGAGCAAAAATGATGAAAAGAATTCGCGTGCGGGACGACAAACTTTGCGACGGTTGTACATTCTGCGCACCGATTCGCGTGCGGCAGCCCCGTTCGATGCAACAGACCGGCGGCTAGGCCAGCGAACAGCGCTGAGGTATGCTCCTCGTCTCGAAGCCAACACATTGGTGGAGCGCTTTACTGACTGTATGAGCGTGGGCTGAATGATAGAGAGGGGCGCGCTGCTTCTGGCGGCCCAGAAAATAAATACATAAAAGCGGCCAGAGACGAGATGGGAGATACATTTAGGGACATGTGTGTCCCCGCCCTGCACGATCTTGGTGTACGATAGGGATTTTACTTATCGTCGTCTAGTGCGCAAGTGCGCGCCGCAAGCGGCGAGGAGGCCGGCGCGGACAGCCCGCGACGCGAGGCTGAAGGCGGCGCCGCAGTGTGTGAGACAGTGTGTCGGAGAAGTCGTGTTGTCAAGCGCTCTCGTCCTGAGCCCTGGCTGTCAGGCTGTCAGGTGCTGTCAGGTGCTGTCAGGTGATCTGTCGGGCTGTCGGGCAGCTGTCAGGCACTGTCAGGTGCCTCTGTCAGACCAGCTGTCGGGTGCTGTCAGGCGCGGCGCGGGCGGATGACTAGGGGAGAAAAAGCGGAGATCCTAGCTCGCTGGGAGACCGCGTGCGCAACCTAAAGTTGGGAAAAT